GTTTTGTTCATCTGTATAATAGCCTGTCTTTAGAGTTTATTTTTTTTAGAATATTTGTTTTGTATGTTAATATCCATTTGGTGACTTGTTAAAAAAATAAATCTTATATCTTCCTTTCATTACGTTTTTAAAACTATCATGTCAAACTGATTTGCTTACAAAAGCAGTAAAAGCTTAATAAAAACTAAAAAGTTTTTTTTGTTTTGTTTGTTTGGCCCTCTAATTACCGGTAATTCGTTGGGTCCGGGTAGGGCTTGAAAAAAAAAAACTACGGGGTCGGTCCGGATTTATTAGGCCTGAATGCAACTCTAATCCAAGAGTAATCCAGATTTTTGTGTCAGAATCTGCATCCTCTGTTACAAAATGCTTTTGATGGTTCATACTTTTTCTCACTTTGTCCACCATCTCAACCCTCACAGCAACTTGTGATACAAAATGCACGGGACAAGATTTTGGGAGACCGGTTGCTACAAGAGAAGCTTGCTGAAAACATCAACAAAATCCTCGCCAGGTAAGTCACCTCAACATGTAGACTGATGGTGACTGATGAAAAGCTATCTTGACATTAAAATACTGCATTATGTTTTATTTCTGGCATCAGTGAGCCAACACCCCAAACATCAAAGGCCATGGTGGAAGCAGAGCAGTCTATAGATGAGATTCTTGGACTACAGGTGCTGACAAGATCTATATTAGTACTTTTTTTGTTCCTTGTTTCCTAAAATGTTATAAAACAAATGTTGTTTTGCGTGGTTTATCAAGCCTTGCTTATTTTCCTGTATGATGTGACTGATGTTTTGTCAGGGGGAAATCCATATGAGCGATGATGCAATCCACGACATTTTGGAGCAAACGGAGTCAGATCCGGCTTTTCAGGCCCTCTTTGACCTCTTTGAGTACCGTAACTATCGCCTACTTTGCTTTATAGTTTTATAAGAGTTCTGGGAAGTTAGAAGTTTCATTGTTTAAAATCAGTCCAATTGTAAGAATGATCATAGCTGATTTTTTTTTAAATATAATTCTGTATTTGCAGATAAAACTAGATCTGCTGATGTGGAAGCATTGGATGGAGGAACAAGCTGTAGTCCAGAGGAGATTGAGATGACTGGACCTCCATGTGCACTCCCAGCCCTTCAGAGTAACAATGCAGGTACTCTGATGGTCTCTGTTGATACATTTGTGTTCTCTGACTTCTCACATGGATCAAGACATTTATGTGGACTGAGGTATAAATAAGAGGGAAAATTTACAGATCTTTGAAAAGTATTTTTAAATTAGTCAGATTCAGAATTATTAAAATTTTAATCAAAAGTCTGGAGGACATAGAGAAGTGAAGGTGGGGCGGCTCACATTTTTGAACAGCCCTTCCTGTAAGATGTTCCTGGTCTTGAGCTGTACTGGTGCCTTGTGTTTCTGCTCCAAGTGGAGGAGTTCAAGTGGAAGTCTCACTCACCAGTGATGGTGGGATGAAGTGAGAGATGGATGAACTGATCAGAGCCTTGTTTGCAGTATTTAAAGTGTTGCTCCAGTCAGTTGAGGTGAATGCGCTTAACCAAATAGGCAATGCTTTCGATTTACTGGCTCATCTACATTCCATCCTTCACCTATGGTCAAACAATCATCTCTGAAAAAACAAGATCTCAGAATCAAGCAGTTGAAACGGGCTTCCTCTGCTGGGTGGCCGGGCTCAGCCTTAGAGATAAGGTAAGGAGCTTCAACATCAGTGGAACCACCACCTTCACGTTGAAAGGAGTCATTTTAGGTGGTTCTGGGGTTGGATTAGGATGGCTCCTGGGTGCCTCCATCTGGAGGTGACCCTGAGGCAAACTCAGAACTTACTACAGGGATGATGTTTCCGACCTGGGAACACATTGGGACTCTACAGGAGGATCTGGAGAGTCTTACTGGGGAGAGGGATGCCTTGGTTTCCCTCTTGAACTTGTTGCCTCGACGACCCGGTCACAGATAAGATGCAGAAAAGAAATGAGACCTGTTATAGTTGTGTCTAAAATGGGAGGAAAACATGAAATAACAGTACTAGAGGCTCAAGTGTTCACAAAAACACATTCTGTCATAACGGATGAGACCAGTATCTGTTGTCATGTTTTTGCTCATGTTCGACTCTGCTGGGAACAGGCCTGTCTAAAGAAGAGTAGCATAAAATTCCTACTTAATCCTGTTTGGTTTTGTTTCCCAGATCCTCCACAACAAGATGCACATGTTTCGGATGCACCACCAGCCACACTGAGGACGAGAGCTGGACAAGAGCGCAAGACCAGGAAGTCTGCTGCGCCCACTTTAATGAAGAAAACTGTTCTGGACTACAGCAGCAGGGCCTCCAGAATTGAGAATAGCTCAGCCAGACTGCTGGTGGGCGCCAGATGTGCTTCATCTGCTGCAGTGGACTCCAGTAGAAAAGACAAAGCCTCACTTTTGAATAATAGTGGGAGTGTAACACAAATGGATATTGATGAACCACTCCATACACCTCCCCCTCCAGTAGACAGTTTGATCACTCAGGAGCCCATCAGCACCTCCATCAATGAATTAGCCTCTGCTCGTTTTGAAAAAGGTCCTGCTCCGTTTGCTGAAGACACGGCATTAAATGTGGATAAAGACCAAGCCCACGGATCAAATGAGGAACCAGCAACAACGTCTTTATCCATCACTGGTCGGCGTCAGGCGCTGTCTTTAGTAGAAGTTCAGGTTAACGATCCAGTGGTGACTGCTAAAATACCTCATACATCAGACTCAACCACTGATGGAAACGCTTCTTCAGGACCATCTGCCTCTACAACATCTGCCTCCTGTGAACCTCTTCCAGCTACAGCTGCCTCACCCACACTTATACCTTCGTCATTCTCCTCCTGTACTCCCGTTTCAGCATCACACACTTTATCCACCATCCCCTCCACCCCAAACAAGGCTGCAGGTCCCAGCAACGTCGTGTCGTTGAGGATCATTGTAAGCGACAACCAGGATGAGGTTTCTTCTGGCGATACAGCCTTGAATCGGGCGATTTCAAGCATTACTGGTGAAAAGATACCCACCATCTACCTGTCCTCTCCTGCCAAGTCCCCTGGATGTCCTGCCACCCCAAAAGCCAATTTTGATGAAGCAGCGCAGGCAGTGAGTAGCTTACAAAGCTCAGAGATATATGGGAGTCCTCTCAGCTACAAAGCTGCAGCAGTATGCACCACTCCATTAACTGGGACAGGACAGACCCCACAAAGATACGTAATTCAGCTCCCAGTGGACAACACCAGTTCTGGGCTCCAAGGGTCTCCTGCCAGCTATTTCATTGTGGCTCCAACTGCAGATGTTCAAGCCAGACAGGTGCTACTTCCTGCTGGTATCTCCAGTGGACAGCCTTTACCCCTGACTCAGCCTGGGGTTACACCCACCCACTCCCAGAACTACGCCACAGGTAAGATGTTCAAAACCAATTATAATGGATGAGAACAGATTCTGATGGATAGGGATATGAGGACGTAAGAGCATGTGATTTATAGAAATAGTTACAATGTGCACCTGCTTTCTAATCACATAGAGTGACAAGTAAAACGAATTGTAAGAACATTTACACAAACTCACAAAACGAAAATGTTTTGTTTGAGCAAAGTTCAACCTGATCACCTTTAATTGATGGATTGTACATTTTAAATCCTGACTTAAACATAGGTGCAATGTAGGATTGATGTATCTACTGTAGTGCAGTGCAAAAGTTTAGAGTCAAACCTCGGCCTAAAAAAAACCTCCGTCTTGTCGAAGCTCCAAAATTTATGGTTGAAACCCGTGCCTTTGTCTAAAAAGTTGTTTTTCTCTGAAAAAAGAAGCTGAGAACTTGTTTACTGATTTTTTTTATTTTTTATTAAAAGCTTTGTGTGAAAAATGCTATGCTAAAGAGCTCAAAACACACCGAGCGTCCGCCATTTTGAGAACCAAAGAGAGACAGCCCATGTCACGTCAAGGGGCCTCCCTCCCATTTTTCTTAGAGACACGCTGCTCACTCCCTCACTATCCATCCTTCGGTTCAGTCTTCTATTGCCATCCAATGGTCAAAAAACATACTAAACACAAAAATTAACCAACATTTCTTCTTAAATTTGACATTTATTAATTATTGTCAAATTTCAAACAATATTATCATTCATCACAATAATTTCTGAGACAATTAATCGCCCAGCAAAATTTGTTATCGTGACAGGCCTAGTCCTACGTGATTACTTTACTCTAGGTTAGACTGCCTTCAGGTCCAGGCCTCTTGCAAAATAGCTCTCTGATCTCAGTGGGATTTGCCTGGTTAATTAAAGGTTAATAAAAATAATGTTTTGTTTCCAAGCGGTCAGACTTTTGTGTAAAATTTAAGTGTTTTTCAGGCTTTCTGTAGGTATTGCAGAGTGATTTTGTTGTTGTTGTTGACAAGCTTTTTCAGTTCAGTTAACCATTTTTAGAGTAATTTTGGTGTTGGCTGTTGGTTATTCCACTTTTCTTAAACCTACAGTTCAGTCATTCAGGCATCAAAATGTCCCAACTACTAAAGAGGTGAATTAGTGACGCATCTTAACTTAAGGTGCTCTCATGCTGTCAGGTGTCTCCTGGATTTTGTTTCTTGTTTTGTAAAGACATGACTTTAGATACCATTTGTCTGCAGTTGATAGTTTCTTCTTCTTTTTTTTTTTGGTTGAATGTAGGCCTGTCACGATAACAAATTTTGCTGCAAGGTTAATTGTCTCAGAAATTATTGTGATAAACGATAATATTGTTTGAAATTTGACAATAATTAGTAATTGTCAAATTTAAGTAGAAATGTTGGTTAATTTTTGTGTGTAGTAACTTTTTCCGACCACCGCATGGCAATTTAAGACTGTTTGAACCGAAGGATGGATAGTGAGGGAGCGAACAGCGTGTCCATCCATCCATCCATTATCTTTTACCCGCTTCTTCCATTTTGGGTCACAGGGGTCACTGGTGCCCATGTCCAGCAGTCAATGTATGAGAGGTGGTGGACACCCTGGACAGGTCTCCAGTCCATCACAGGGACACATAGAGACAAACGAGACAAACAACCATTCACTCTCTCACCTAGGGACAATTTAGAGTTACCAGTCAGCCTAACGTGCATGTTTTTGGTCTGTGGGAGGAAACTGGAGTACCTGGAGAAAACCCACACATGCACAGAGAGAACATACAAACGCCACCCAGAAAAGCCACCGGACCAGGATTTGATCCAGGGTAACCTGCTCGCTGAGAGGCAGCAGCTCTACCAACTGCACCATCGTGCTGCCCTGAAAATCTTCACAGATTTTGTAATTTAGTTAAACCCAATTTATCTGCTTTGTCTGAACACTTCTGCAGAGAAAGTTGGAATGTTTTCTGTGTTCAGCCCTCGACCTTTATTTCTGTTTCCTGGTGTTTGTGTAACCTTTAATCTTTTCCCCAGGCTCAGCACTCATCATGTCATCACCTGTGTCGCCTGCTGTGCTTCCTGTGTCTGTCGTGGGGCAGAATATGGTGATAAAAGACTCAGTGATCCCCAGCCAGGTACATACTTACTGTAGAGTAATAATAATTTATTTTTTATCATAAACATAACGGCATTTGTTGGAATGATGGTTTGGTCACAGTAAGAACTCACATCGTTACATCCACAGCTTGATAACACCTCAAAGCCTGCATCACTACAGGACATGAAAACTATCAAACCCAAGCCTGCCACTGTAACAAACAAACAGTCGCCAACTTCAGGTAACTTGTACATTAAACAGAATTGCACTTATGTCACCTGCCTTTCTGAAAATATAAGTAGAATTACTTAATTTTTGCAACAACAAAAAAAAGTTTTAATGTCTGACTCATTCCAGGAGCTGAGAAAAGCGTGTCTCCTGCAGTGGTTCGACCTGAACACGGAGACCAGCAGGATGCAGCCAGCGCTTCCAGTCACAAAAGGATTTTATGTTTTGACTCCTCGTCGGACGTTCAGTCGCAAACTTCTAAAATGACTGAAAGTGCCACACCTGTGGCTTTAAGCGCGTCTTTACCACAACCTGTCCGACTGTCTGAGAGGGAGAGAAAAACGAAGCCTAACATTTTGGGAGGCAACAAGCCCAAGAGAAGGATAGAGACCGTCAGATGTTCAGCAGATCCTCAGGCTAGAGTTGGTTCGCTGAAAGAACTCGTCTCCTTTCAAACGCAGGAGAACGATCTCGCTAAAAAGAACTCTCGCAAACAAGTTTATAGCATTCACAACAAAGAAGTTCACAGTGCAAGTTCTGACCGTGTTCCACTGCCTGAATCTGAGAAGAAGACTGAATCTGTTGACAGACTACACAGATCAGAAGCAACTAAAGCTAAGGATCAGCGTAGCTTTAAGTCGTCTGAGTCTGCACTGAAAACAGGAAGCAGAAAGGACAAAGAGGAGAGCAGCAGGAAAGAAGACGCAGACGAGGCTCTTTTCAAATCCCACGAGCAACGACAGGAGAAGAGGCCTCCCTCCCAGGAGGTGCCGAGCATCACGGCTAACAAGGAGAATGAAATGAAGGGTGTTTTGCAGGAACAACAGTTAGTACCTTCAGCATCAGGAGACTTCAGCCCCCCAGCTGTCCCCCAGCTGCTGTCTCACACACCGACCAAGACCACAAAGGTTCTATCGAAGACGAGCTCTCTTGCCAAACAGGCTGCTGAGATGCTACAAAACATTCAAGGACTCAACTCTCCTGTCAAAAAGGCTGGAGCTGGCAGTGCAGACCTCAGTCCTGCTGAAAGTCCCAGGACTCTTTCCAGCCAGAATAGGGGTAAAGATAGCGAGGGGACTTCCAAGCCCCTAATCCCTCCCAACACCCAGGACATGCCCACCTGCAGCCCCACCAGTGAAGCTGGCAGCGAGAACAGCATTGACATGGCTGCACACACCCTAATGATTCTGTCTCGTGCCGCCATTGCCAGGACCGGCACTCCTCTTAAGGACAGCACGCGCCAGGAGGGAGTGGGAGAGAAGTCGCCCACAAGCGCAAGGATCTCAAACAAGCGCAAGCAGTCTTCTCCCACAGGCAGCCCTCCTGCAAAGAGAGAGTCTAAAAGATCTCCCAGCAGAAACAAGGACCGGGTGAGTTCAACACGAGTGCATGAAATGTGGCAGCGTTCATAATTTAGATATAAAGTCTGTGATGACTTGATGCCAATTGATGTGAATTTTACAGTCCGCTTGAGTCGAGTCTTGTTGGAGACTGCTCACAGCACCCCCTGAAGGCCCTCAACTGGAACTGCAGCTACTAAAATAATCAGCTTTTGTTTTGGTGTCCCCATCAGTCCAGTATCTTTTCTAAACTGTCCCTGTGTAGATTGTTTTAACTTTATTTTTCACATATTCTATACATACATTTTACGTCTTATAATTCTCATAGAGTCAGAAAAGTCTCAGTTTTTATCATTTCTAAACTGTTTTTAGCTCCATTTAACCCTCAGAGGGTCCTTTTACTTTGTGACAATTAGTGTTCCTTGGTGAAAAATCCACCACCTTACATAACTGCTTAAAATAATTTTTCCACAATAAATTAGTCAATATTTTAGAGCTATATCAGCCTGAAATAAATAAAAAAATCAAATTAAAGACTTTTTAATATTTTAACTCTTTAAACTCTAACTCTTGAAGGGAGATGTGAAGTGCACAGACTTTACAATATGACAGCCTGGATGGGTAGGTGCACAGTCATGTGGGAGGAGTGAACAGGAGAGGGCTCAGCACACAGCCCTGAGGGGAGCCAGTACTGAGGGTTATGGTGGAGGAGGAGAAGTTGTGGATCCTCACAGACTGAAGTCTGTTTGTTAAGAAGTCTAGGACCCACTTGCAAATGGAGGGGCTTAGTCCTAGTGTGAGTAGTTTATCCATCAGGGTTTGGGGCATCATGGTGTTGAAGGCAGATGTGAAGTCCACAAAGAGCATATGGACGTAGGAGTTCTTCTGCTCCAGGTGGGTGAGAGCAGTGTGGACCACAGAGGAGATGGCATCCTCTGTTGATCGGTTCTCACGGTATGCATACTGGTGATGGTCCTCGCTCATGTCGATGTTAGCTTTGATGCGAGTCATGACCAGTCTGTCAAAGCATTTAGTGACTATCGAGGTGAGGGCTACTGGCTGGTAGTCATTCAGACCAGTCACTGTAGAGCTCTTTGGGACTGGGATGATGTTGGCGGTCTTCAGGCAGGTGGGAACGGTTGCCAGGCTGAGGGAGGAGTTAAAGATGTCGGCCAGCACCTCGCAGAGCTGATATCTTCCAACTTAAAATTCAAAGTATGTCGCATCGTAAAATCATCATAATCTAAAAAATAAAATATAAAAGTGTTAAAAGTTATTTTTTATTTTTTTATTTATTCATTCAACCTTTATTTAGACAGGTAAATCCCACTGAGCCTGGAGGACTCATTTACAAGAGAGACCTGATTATTTTAGAACGTCTATGTTCAGTTGTTGAAGTGTAACTGATCAAGAAGTACATTTCTGCTCCGTGCTGCAGAGCTGCTCTGCTGTGCTTCTCTTCTCTACAATTTAAATTTAAATACTGTAATATTTTAAATAAACAATCCATGCTGCACAGATTGTTTATTTAAAATATTACAGTATTTAAATTTAAATCGTTTCTTTACACAAGGAGGGAGATTGGGAGCAAGTGATGAGTGTGATTGCAGCGTTGCAGAGATCTGAAATCATGACATTCTGTATTATTTTAAAGAGTTTAGAAACATTGTTTAGAATATTGCAAGAATGTGGTCAGGGTTTATAAAGCCTTAATATATATATATATTTATATTTTTTTAT